GCGCGCGACGATGGGGAAGAAGAGGAAATGATACGGAGGAGCAGACAGCTGGAAAAAGTTTCGACTGTGCGAAACGCAGCGAATGACGTCGCTCGCAAAAAAGCTGGCGAAAAATTCGGGCGAGATTCGTTTTTTAGAGAAAATATCGTGACTACCTACTTGCTACACTTCAGGCGGTGCATAGAAAATTTATGCCTTCGTCATACGCTCGTAAGAGACGTTCGTCGTCAGAAAAGAGTTTGTACGATCGGAATCACGCAACGAGAAACCTGTCTTAACGATCTGCATAAAACACGATACGCTATAAAGAAACATTAGAAGAGAAATTAATACACGCCGTTAAGTTTATTCTCTTCTTGAGTGAAGTACACTTTCTAGATAAATCGAGAGACAACGTAAATAAAAAATCCGAATTTATTAAAAATAACATCAGAAAAATATAGCGCACAAAACGTGAAGAATGTTGAATATTTTGCGTTTGAAGATTAAAACGACATACAACAAGCAAGTTGAGAGTTCAAACAACAGAATCGATCTGCCACCCTGAAAGTTTGCGCCAAAGTTCAACCTTCAGGCAAGCAAATTTGCCTTCGCGAGCTACTTCGTCCGATTGTGCTAACACTGCGTTTCCGTGCGCCCCACAAGGAAAAGATCGACGTCAAATCTTCTCTAGAAGCACACGCGGAAGGAAGAAGGATATCGTGGCAAATATTTATTCACCACTCTCTTTTTTTTTTTTTCAACTGAATATAAGGATACCGGAAGAAGATGAGAAATTTATCGAGTTCGCGCGTCGCAATTTTCGAGAAGGAAAATATTTTCGCCGACAAGAATAAATGCGTTACAGATCAGGATCTATATTTGACCGAAGAAATGCATTTCTCTCCAATTGAATATATATATATGTATAATATAGGAAATATCAGGGGAACGTCTCGAAAAATTCTTTGATATCATGTCAATCTCTTCTTCGATGAGTCACCATTATCTTTTTTTTGACAAATAATTTTTGTGTCTATATTTATAACTAATTATTTATAATTAGTTTATCCACGAATCACAGAAACTGACTCTGAGTCTGCTGTCGATTAACAAAACAATATAAAATAAAAAATATTGAAATCAAAAGAAATATACGATAAAAAAATAGGATAATTTAGAAACAAGTAAGTTTGCAAGAAGATGCAAATATAGATGAATAGTTTGTTAATCTTTGTTTGCTTCCGTAAGGATATGGAGAAGTTAGTAACCTAATACATTTATGCAAGTCTCCGTGATCTTCTCTAAATCCGTGTTATACGATACGCCTAAAGTTAGTTTATCGCAAACTATGCATTATCTTAAGCTTCCTTGGTATAAACACGATCTAGTTTAGTATCAAAATAAACTGTATATCAATATTCTAATTTACAATCTACATGTAGCCCTTGAGCGGATACATTCGTAAATATATTTCCCTCGTTTGAGATCTTGATTATAAAATCAATTATAGCAATTGAGTTATAATTGTTGGATAAATACTACACCGAAAAAATTATAATTCTTGTAAGTAGAAGATTTTATACTTAAAAAATCTTCTTAAAGATTTTAGATGATATTCTTCCGAAATTAAGAATATATTCTTTATTTAAGAATATATTCTTAATTTCAATCATAGTTTATATAATTTTAATATAATATTATATAATTTCAATATATAATCAATATATGATATTTCAATATCAAGAATATATTCTTTGAATTAATTAGCAGGGCAATAATGAGCCATGGCAGGATGTTGTGCCATAGAAAAATTAAAAAATATAATTATATTTTTTAATTTTTCTATGGCACAACATCCTGCCATGGCTCATTATTGCCCTGCTAATTAATTCTATTTATTGGAGTTACCAAAAGGAGCCGGAGGTCACACCTCATTTATCACTTATATATATTTAATATATTCTTTATTTAAGAATATATTCTTAATTTAAGAATATAGTCTTTTTCGATAGTGAGATATATATATATATTTTTCTATAGAGGCTTTTTATATTCTAATCAGTATATATCAATCTTATCGATCTTATCGATCCTTTCAATATTACTATTTAGAGGATTTTCCTCTTAAAATAAGAAACTCTTCTTGGCGCCTATTTTAGTATAAAATATATTTAAAGTAAGTGGGATATCTCTCTCTCTCCTCAAAACAAGAATACAATTTTTTCGGTGTAATTATCTATCTCAAGTTGTTGCACGTTATGTTGAAAGAGAAATTATAAAAGTGAATTTAGATTAATATATTTTGTTATTCAATGTTATTTTAGATTACTATATTTTGTTATTCAAAAAACGTTATTCGGAAGAGCCATTTCGCTCGTCATACATGTATAAAAAAATAACTTCGGACACGAAATGTATGATAATCTTCTAAATGCGACACAAAGTTCGTATCCTTATTCAATCAGCGTGCATTCAATAATAATATATGCATTATTTACTTTTTGCATAGAATGCTATGTTTTCCGCAATATGAAACAGAGAGAATGTGAATGATATTCGCTACCGTATCTGATGTTAAAACGAGTTTATATCGAGCTTGCAGCGAAGTAAGCAGCGCACAAACGATAGTCGGATTTATGCGCTAGCTAGCACCGATGGGGTCATGAACTCGAATTCGATGTCTATATAACGAGAGTCGACCAGTTGCTGCATCAACAATAAATGGCAACCGGATGCGCGCCTAAGGTCAATAGGGACAAAGTTGCATCGCAAAATGAAAGGACGAAATCCCGTTTGCAGTGCGCGTTTTCGCGTCTCTCTCGCACACACACACACACACGTTATTCGCATGTGTATATCATATATACGAATAAATCGAAATACAGCAAAGAAACGACAATTGCGTATATTGTCGCGAGGCAATAAAGAAACGTAGCAGGTACAAAACAAACACAAAAGCGAACGAATAACCTCCTCGCGAAATATAAAAGAGGTAAATAATAATAATAATATACGTGAATATACGCGATTTCCTCGCGGCCGTATTTCTATCGGTTATCGATCGCGCGAGAATTTTACGCGCGGCAGAAATAAATCGCGAATCGCATGTTCCCCATTATTCTCTCCCGACGACCTCTTCTCTCGTCGATATATACGTAGCGGTTATCTCGAGAGTATGTCCGTCGCGATGCCGTGCATCGCGCGCGCTGATAACGCGTACGGGGTATTATCGACCACGGTACGCGCCGCGAGCTTTGTTTTGAAACGTGCATCATCCTCGCCGTTGTTCGTCGTCGTTAGCGACAATGATAACGCGCGACCGCGACATGACCTGCCGATGTTGCGCGCATAGCCGCCAGTGTCTGAATATAACAGGTTGCCGTCGCGACGCCGCGGCATAACCCGATATATATCGTCGAACTTTTTAAAATCACAAACATACTCAAAACAAACACATTTTAGACTTATTATAGAAACAAATATATAAACTAAACATATAATTGTATTTTGGTAAAAATTTCCGTAAAGCGATAACATGAGAATATTTTTAATTGTTTTTTTTCTTTTTTTTTTTTTAATTTTAATTTTATACAAATTTTAAAACTAAGAAGATTGTTTTGTAAATTCTTTCTAGTAGCAATCAAGTAAGAAGGAAAAAGAGTTACGTTTTTTTTTTTTATTTAAAATTACTTATCTCCGCGTAATATATAATGAAAATAAACATTTCGCATTATGCAAACGCGTACAAAACAAACATAAACTAACGTATAGACACATTCTATTGTAATTAACTTTCAATCGCGTGAATTTTCACGCGCTATAAACCGATATTCACAATCGGATCTTACATTTAAGTCTGAAGTTTATCTTAAGATGGTACACGTAGCCAATGAAACGCGGCCTGAATCTTGTACATGATAAATTTAAAATAACTTGATCGTTCTAAAGATAAAAATTTTTTTCAGATGTTTCTTTAAGGACTCGTGACATCAAAAAAAAAAAAAAAAAAATGACAAATATTTTTGAAAATTGAAATGTGCAGCAAATTTAATTTATATATTACGCGTAGGCATAAGTATCTTTTAGATAAGACAAAACGTCGAATAATATCGGCGTGTAAAAGTCGTTTTCCGCTTCGCAATTTCGATAGTTTATGTCTTTCCGCTAATTTAAAAGCTTTTTTCCATTTTTTTTCTCAACACACACACACACGGTGTTTTTCCTACACGTAAAAAGTGACATTAGATTTTTTATTATCGCGGTACGATAAAAATAAATCAAATATAAAATTCACGCGACATTCTTTGCGAAAGAACAAGGGGAACGTGTTACGCGGAATGGATTGTCTTCGTGCGAGATATTGTTTCGCGTTTAATGACACAATTTTGACATTCGCGCTTGACATGTAACTACGATCGGACATCGACCGATCAGACCGGGCACAATCTGTACCATCTCCACGAGTCTGTGGCAATCGCGTGAAATCTGTTCGCTGCTCGACTGTTGTCGAGAATGTCGAATACGCGCCGGCGACGGCGGCGGCGGCGGCAGCGGCGGCGGCAGCGGCGAATGCGCCCATTGTTATTCAGCGAACGAGCGAGCCGGCGACGCGCGTTACACACACGCAAGCATATGCACCCGTATACGCTACGTATACGCGATGGGATAAATGGCGCCCCGCAAAACTCGCGTACTACTCTCTCTCCTCCAAAGTCGTACTCTCGACGCTTCGCGAGATCATTTATACGCCGATAAATGGCGACTCTCGCTCTCTGTCATGTCGTCGTCGTCGCCGACGGCGCGCGGCGACGAGGAGGACGCGATATACAACACGCGTCCCTCGGCGTTCGCGTAGAAAACAGGGTAGAGAGCAAGCAAGGAAAGTGATGACTTCCTTATGGAGAAGCGGAGCGAAGGAGCGAATCGAGAGAGAGAGAGAGAGAGAGAGAGAGAGAGACGCGCAAAGCGCGCACATTCACGGAACGTGATAACAAATAAATTTTGGGCGCACTACTCACCCTGTGTCCAGATTCCTCGAGCCGTTGTCGCTTCGAGTGCGGACCATCTCCGTTGAACGCCATCCTTGACTGCACCTCACGGCCGATATGTCGTATTTGAATCGGAGCACTCGGGGCGCTGCGACGAGAGCGACGATGACGGGCAACAAAGACGACACGAGGGTTTGCTGATGTGTATACCTGTGCGGCTTCTCTCAACACCGTATCAACGGATCCCGTGCGCGCTCGAAAACCTGGGGAGGGGGGAAGAGGAGGAAACTAATAATCGGTATAGGACGCACGACGCGCGACGAAGACAAGACAATCACGCAAGAGCGGCTTAAAGGAAACTGGGAAATCCTTGTCGGGCAACCGACGTCAACGCTTCGTGCGAAACTGACGACCGGCTATCATGACGCGCTCTGGTGACGCCACCGACGATCCCACAACCAATCGTTGCTCACGTCGAGACGCACCGAGCATGCGCAAAGAGTCGGAACTCGATTGGTCCGCCAATCGACATACGCTCGCGATATCGATATATAACCCGGCTCTTTCTTATTGGCGGATATTGCGGCTCGAAGCAGTTTTCATTGCATTTTCATGAAAAATTATTTTTATCTCTCATTGCATTAACCGATGTATATATTCTCGCAGTGGCTGAATAATATATATATATATCTTATGAACGCTAATAAAAGATTATGCACAAACAAATTGCACCGAGTAAAATGTTTGCGCATGCGTTACCACGTGATCAATCATATTGATATTGTATGCTCATCGCATCAGACTATAGAATGGTATTCTGATGCTGCTGCTTTTCTGTTTTGTTTTGAAGCTTACGCAAATTGTCAAAGCGTATCTAAAAAGAGAGAGAGAGAGAGAGAAATAAGATGATAATATATGATTTAGGTGACTTTATTCGTTACGTTTGACTGAAAACAGTAAAAAATTTCGAGGTGACAATCTGGCATCAAAAATAGGTTTCAATATGGGAGACAAGTTATTTTCTGACAAATATAAGAATCTATCCAACAGTACCACAGTCTCCACCAATGGCGCCAACATCGTTCGCAGTGCTCCGAATATTACAATTTGCTGCCATTGATTTAAATAAGATTGTATTTGCGGATCCTGACAATCTGAGCGTGTGGGCCGAAAATGCGGCTCGAAGTCTGCGGTTGCGGCTGTACAATATCTGAAAAAAAAAAAAAAATCAAATGTCATCGTAATTAATTTATTCTGTACACGTACAATATAATTAGTAGACATATACATGTACATATGCGCGCGTTGTTAAGTTTTTGAAAAAATTAATATATCTATTTGTGTTCAATCTTGACTTTTTTTTACATGTTACTCAACTGTTCAAACGTCATGGAATTTGTCACTTTAACGTTCTTTACTTGATTACGACGTAATTTCTCGCTTCGTTTTGTCAAAATGGTTTCCAGAGCAGCTCTGTAAGCATGTACCTAAAATATCATATATTTCGTTAATAAAAAAATCATTTACCACTCTTAGACAATAAAGCTTACAATTAAATCTTCGTAGTTTCCGGTCTTCAGTTTGTCGCAATAAATTTCGATAGCATGGCACGCCACTTCCAATGCCGTATAAGACATTTTGCGATTTCCCGACGATGACGATAGATATTCACTGAGTGGGTGTCCATTTAGAACATTAATCGAATGTCTGCAAACAAGTCGCATTAACGGAACTCAAGTAACAAAAATATGAATAGTCTCAAGACGTACTCTAATGTTAGCTTCATGTAACAGCATCCCACAATACATATAAATTTCGCTTCATCCCGAGATGCGTAAAGCTTCAGCAACGTGGCCGCAAGATCTCCACACGGATGCAAACCTACAATGCCAAATCCAGAGCTTTTTTCATCTAAATTAAAATTATCAGAAAATATTTCTTGTATATTCTTGATTATCTCCGTCTGATTGGAATCTGTATTTTCTATTCTGACCGAAACATGTTGCGGAAAATTTAATGACAAGTCAGGCAAATGTTTCGATAACGACAGGAACAATTCTTTATCCCATTTTCTGCGAATAAGAAAGTATTGCAACGTGATAATAATATGAAAAATATAGTATAAAATTGCTGAGAGAAAATAAAAATAATTGAAGAGAATTTAAAGCAAAAAAAAATATACCTGGCTTGTTTTGACAGTGACGAATCTTGTTCAATACATATCACACGTAAGTTGTATTTAAATGCCAAAGTCCGAGCTAAATGGCCCATACCTGCTCCAACATCTACAATACATTTTGCATTAGATTCTTTTGCGCAGTCTGCGCATATCTGCAAAAATCAACTTTTAGATGTCATAAATACTTGACGTTTAATCTAAAAAAAAAAGTTTGTTACTTTTGCAATTTTCTGTTATATTCCATATACCTCCGCTATCTGTTGTATCTCGTGACGCTTTTTGATCTTCACGTGCTTCAAAAAGAGATTATGTTTTTTTAACACAACTTGTTTATCACACAAAGTTGTATCTTTGTTTTCTGGAATAAGATTCGAATTAAATTCGAATTTATTATTTGTTTTCTCACATTTTACAATACTCCCGTTGTCTCGATGATCTCTTTTCAGTTGCAAATCTTTCGTAATTCGTCGAAGTGCGAGCAGTGACAGAGGCCACACGCGTGTACTACAAATGTGTACTACAAATTATTAAATTACGCAAAAAAAAAACACGCACAAATATAATAAGTCACTTCAACGACATGGTTGAATATCTGTTTGAATATTTGCGCGCTTTCAATCAAAGTTACATATTCTTACCGCGAGATGTCGCCAGCTAACCAGACTCCAAATTCTTCGGGTGACACAGTTCGCAGAACGATCTTCCAGTTGCTCGGCAATTTTTCCCACAATTGCTCTTGGAAAAAATCCTAGAATATACGCGCAGGGTTAAAATTTTATTGCAAAGTAAATCGTCCTTTTATGAGACGTCGCAAATTGCTCGAATACCAATGTATGCATCACACGCACACACGTGCGTATTCGCGATAGCATGTGTGAAAGAAAAATATGAGGTCTGAAGGATGGAGATTATACAAGACAAGTACGAAATATATATCTTTATTTAGTTACGTACCACAACATACGAGTCTAACAACCAACCGTATGTGTCTAGTATATGGAAGATTTGTTGAATCGTTGCGCGGGATCTCGAGCAAGCCCCACATGTGCACGTAACCGTCGGGGCAGCCATTGTTGTGTCAAGATGGACAAGTTAATTTCAGGTTCTGACAGGAGGATCGGTGGTATCTCTTTTATTATATACTGTAAGTTTCTAAATTTGTGAAAAAGAGATTACATGAAATTTACACGTCTTTTTTTCTTTTTTTTTTGTTATTTATTTCTATTTCAGAGTATATACGTGCAGTAAGTATAAATAATGCTACAATCGATCGATTTTTTTATGTGTGCAAACATTGCGTATATGTGATATCCTTTAACATTCTGAAAAAAAAACCTTAAGAGATAATTTAACAACTAGAAGTCGAGGTCCGGGGGCCTTGACTGATGTAAACGCGTCACTGTTAGAACAAGTGGTTTTGTTAGTGGAAGAGAAAGTTAATGTGTTATTCTTCGCGCTCTATATGATTTATTATATCGATTGTGATAATGGCCGAGCCGCATCTAGAAATCGCGATTTAACATGTTTTATCTATAAAAAAAAAAAAAAATAATGGAAAATAATTTTTTTTTTTTTCAACAAGATTGCCGCTCCGATTGAAGAGAGCGCGAGAGTGCAATTTGCTGCACCTGAAATAGAAAGTGCAACGGGCACAACATCAATTGCAGGTAATTTTTCGTCTGATATGGCTTATACCGGCTTAAAGTATGTAATTATATAACGGCAGTTGTGCGTTTTCCGCTTATATGTGGTATATCGATATTATCTAGCGGCTGAAAGTGTCGTGAAATTTTTTCTTCCACTATCAATCGCCAATATTTATAATTAAATGCCAATTTAAAAAATTAACAATAACACGTGCGTTTTTATCGTTCTGTATAAATACCCGTAAAATATATAAAAAATATATCTTTAAAATTATAAATATATCTTTAAATAATATAAAAATATATCTTTAAAATTATAAATCATTGTATCATCGCACGCGAATGAATTTACACACGGCGTGTCATTCCGATCTATTCTATTTCTTAATTATTTTAAATAAATGCGCACACGCAGCGTAACACACCCTTGCAACATATAACATTTTTCTCACACTGAAAAACGTGAGTGAGAATTTTCCAACTAACGAACGTAAGTTAGTAGTGTAATCTGCGAATCTAGATCAGTAATCAGTAAATCGTTGCAGATGCGACACGTACCTTTTGTATGCAAGTTGACTCGAAGAGAAATACGAGGTTTCTCTTACATAACTAATTGTTATTATATAATCTCTCTCTCATTCAAATTTCGAGTAAAATCGAGATAACAATAACATGTCCTGCTTCTGGCGTAAATTTTGAAATAAAATTAAGATAGCGCATACGTAATACTTATATGTTTTGCTAAAAATCAAATAATGTAATAATTTTTTTTTTTTGTTAACAAACGCTCTGAGAGATATTCCAATTACAAGGAATAATAACTAACAGTGAGAATCATAGAAAAGGTCTCGATCACATTAACCGGACTGGATCGTGGCAAGGTCCCATAAAAATGGTACATTGAAATGTAGAATCGTAAGGGGTGAGATGGGAAAAAGCGTTTGTACGCTTTGTTTATTAATTATAAAGAGCGAGCACTATTCTTGCGACGTCCCACTTTGCGGCACTTTCACTCTTCAACAGTTACGTTATCGCTCCTCATGAGCGTATTGCTCTCGAAGGACTATATATACATATACATACATATATATATATATATATATATATATATATATA